CCCCATCCCTATTTGACCCCGACCTCCGAACGAAGTCTGATTTTACTCAGCTCCACCCTGGGGTCAATGTCCAATCATGTCCCGATCCTAAAATCCGAACTTCAGCTGTGGTTCGATCCTAAAAGTAATTCCAGGCAGGTGATTTTCTTGTCAAAGAAATTTTAAATCATGTGTCTCTAATTCAAGATCAAATTCTCAGCTATTTGACACTTGGCTCCCCTAGAATGACAAACAAAGTTCTGTCTGCTCAGTACCTAGTTTTGAGAAATTTGATGTCAAAGATTACGAGTTTCACATCATGTCAAACTTTTTCTAATGCAATTCCATGAATATCTTGATCTGATAACGACACCGAATAATCTTACGATTTTGATGATAGATCATTTGATTTCCGACCTCAAGGTCTTAATCACTCAAAACAGCCAAAAATGTCAAATGTGAAGCGTGCAGACAAAATAAGTAACTTCTCCAATTTTATCTCCATGGAAATAGATACATCACGCTTATAGGTGAAGTTATTACTATTTATAAGTATGAAATCATAAAGGGCGTGTTGTACTTTAAAAATATGACATCAATAAGAAATCTACAAATTTGACCCAAGTGTCGATTTTTGGCCAATATCTCCATATGTGGATAGCGAGAAGTAACTCATTTTGTAAGCACGTCTCACAAATAGAACTTTGTCATTCGGAGGTAGCAACTTGTCAGCCTGCTGTGTCTCTCTCTACTACTAAAACTAGCGGGGTTTATTTTAATTAATCAGTTCAGACATTATCCAAGTTCTTTCACAGAGCAAAATAAGCGAATTTCTTTTAAGTATTGTGGTTTATTTGTAATACATGATGGTACTGTACTTTTCAAAAATACATGTCAAGTATGTATAGTATTTAAAAATGTAATAGAACAAACTCTTTTTAAAAACATATCTGGCTTACGATCACACAACTATGAGAGAAAAGTACACAGAAACAACATAAAAATAACACATGAAGACTAAATAGGAATTAATACTGTGAAGGATTTGTGAAAATAAACAGTTTTCAGCCAACTTGGTTCAGTTTTAAGCAGTAATTCCTTAGTCAGAATACAGATTTTTTACTACAGGCGCACCTCCCCTCCCCCCACCCCCCTCCCCTCCTCGTCTGTCTCAAACCCTGACGACCCAGCGCTTGCAATCTCCGCTAAATGTTTGACCCCCCTCCCCTCCCCCATGAGCAGGTCTGAAATCTTTAAAATTTACATTGCAGCCGACCATGGGAAGCCATACTCAAGTCCACTTTCAACTTTCTGTCGAAAACTGATCATTATTGACCAAGAGGAAGTCACTCCAAAGAATAGACTCTACTACAAAAAAAAAGCAAAAAGGCTACTCTCCCTTATATTATGTAAAGTACCAAAGGCAATAACTCGTTAACCCTATCCGTATGCCCTGAGGTCCTTTTCTACCTCCAGGGTTGTATTCTTCACATTTTAGAAAACTTCTAGAGCGAAGATCTCTTTGAAACTTTTGGTATGCCTCAAAAAATCATTTTGACAGACTGCAAAGCAAAGCGTATGGATTAGATTAACGAGTTAATTTCCTCTTTGGAAAGCGGTGGCACAGAGTTTCCCATGTCGTATGGATACAATTGTAAAACACGACGTACGGATAGGGTTAACGCAACAAAATGTAATTAAATAATAAATTCGAGACCAACAGGTGTACTGCCGTGGCAGTAAACACAATGGTAGAAAGCTTTATGCCCCCATAAACACAGCTTAGATCATTTAGGAGGCGGGCGGCTTCATCAACCCTGCCAACTAGGGCAGTCAGTCGTGCGCTGAGATAGATACAACATCCCACAAAAAGGAGACGGAGACAGTCGATACTCACTCTCTGTTTAACAACTGAGTAAGAGCGACACAGAAAAGTAGTCAAAGGTAGCCCGCTAAATCTGTTCACCAGTCCCAACATAAAATCTTGTACCCCAGTACAAAGACACTCACTAGCTCCTCTTCACAACATGATGATGTGTATTAGGCCTCGACCAACCTTCAACATGTAGTACTGTCATTTTGCCAGTTCTCCAGAAAAAAAACCCACAAAGTAGTGGGTGGTAGGACGGTGCTCTGGTTTGGTTTGTTCCTTCTTTCCTATCAAACATCTCTCGTCCTTTTCTCTCCTTCTTCTTTTTGGAGTTAGTCACTCTCTTGTAACACCTTGAATCTTCAGCATATAATATATGTGATGCAGCGTGGTGGAACCAGGCTCTCGTCATATTTTGGGCATGTAGAGTTATTGGTATCATCTTAAATCCTGTTTACTTGTCTATATTTATATGAAAAAAATATCAATTTATCTTGAATACAAGTCGAGATATTTGCTAATGAAGGAGGTGGGGGTCACCTGTTTTCAGAGGAAAAGTTAGTGAGAAAATGGCCGCCAAAAATTAGTTGTTTCCACAGCTTAAGAGTCCGTGGTACCTGAACATTTACATTTGTTGTGCCTTTAATAAAGGTTTTTCAGAAAAATCCACACTGAAATGAGTTCTTTAATGGGCATGAAAGGAGTTGAGCCAAAAAAACAAAAATTTGATAAAAATTCACAAACCTGCTGAAAAATGCAATTTTCTTCACTTTGATTATTTTGACGAGAGCCTGATTCCACCACGCTGCCTCACATATTAGTACTACCTAATTGTGCTAATTTGCAAGTACCATAAAACTGTTACTAAGACTAAAGAAAGGCTCCGGGTCCATCATTCATTCTTCATACCAGTCTTGACTGCTCTTCTCTAAAATAAAAAATCTCCTCAGGTCATTCGTAGCAAAGCCAAAACATCCCTGAACACAAATGTGAGGCAGCGTGGTGGAATCAGGCTCTCGTCAAAACATCCCTGAGCACAAATGTGAGGCAGCGTGGTGGAATCAGGCTCTCGTCAAAACATCCCTGAGCACAAATGCATTCAGCCATCACAAAGCAGCTATCAGTGTTAATTTTTTATCTCTGTGTATACTTTTGGTTTTTAGTAAGTTTTATGGCACTTGCAACACGATTAGGTCATATAAGTGCTGAAGATTAGAGTTGCTACAAGAGAGTATCATACACATAAAAGAAAGAGGAGAGATCAGAAGAATAGATGTTTGACAGGAAAGGAGCAAACCACACCAGAGCACCCACCAACCAACCACATTTATACTTCATGACACAACTTCAGGCACACATAACATAATATGTGTATGCATGGATGACATAATATGTGTATGCATTGATGACATATGAGTCACAACGCAGGGGAATCAGGCCCTCATCAATTTTTGGCAGGCAGGGTTATTGATATCACCTTAAAGTTAAAATTTGTTCTTTTTTCTTACGCTGAAAAAAAAAACCCAATCTATCTAGAGTAAAAATCTGAGAAATTTGCAATTGAATGAGGTGGGGGTCGCCTGCTTTCAGCGGTCAAATCAGTGAGAAAATGACAGCCAAAGTTTGGAGAAATCCACGGCTTGAGACCCCTTAAAAACTGAAAGTTTACACTTTTGGTGCCTCAAAAACGTTTCCCCGTCAAATCCACACAGAAATGTGTTTTTAGCCTAAAAATAAAAAATTTAATAAAAATTGCCAAACCGGTTTCTTCTATTTCATTATTTCGACGAGCGCCTGAATTCACCATGCTCCCTCACATATATATATATAAACACACACATGAAATCCATAACATATGCTCCGACGAGACACCTAGGGCAGTTTTGGCTGGGCGTACACACAATGGCGGCCGCCGTCCACAAACAGGATCTGGCCTGTGACAAAACTGGCCCTGGTGGAGGCCAAGAAGACAGCAGCGTCGGCCACTTCCGAGGCCTTGACCATACGGCCCAGGGGGTGGAGGCTGGACGACGACTGGTTCTTCTTGAACTGAAACAGACAATGAGAGGTCAGCACAAAGAGAGGTCAACAGGTCTATTTTTTTTTTTATTTAGCAGAGGTTTTACGGCACTCGCAACTGCATAAGGTCATATGAGCGCCAAGGGGAGGATGTCAACAGAGAAGTCCTTACAGGGAATCAGACTTACTCTGCTCACCTCTCTAGCTTCAACAGCACAAAGTCTGTTTCGACTTTCAAGGCATCCCGGAAATAGCTGGTCACAAGAGTGTGACAAACATACAAAAGAAGTAGAGGAAAAATGACAATAGTAAGGATTAAGAAAAAGAAAGCAGCAGTTCCCTGTTGTAGATCAGGCGCAGTTATGAGCGTGACATTGATGAATCAGCCCATTTACAAAATTTTCTACTGTGCATGAACGAGAAATGTCCCCCCTTTGGGAATGGTCTAAAGACACTTCAGTCAGTGGCACCGCCCCCCCGGGGGGGGGGGGGGGTCAACAGGTCTACGCAGAAGGTTGACCTTTGAGCTCTGACCTCCTGGGGCTACCGTGCCCCTTTGCGAGAGCTCCTGAGCGATATATTACTGATATTCATTATGATCATCAGAATCACATTTTATATCCCACTCAGGGTATTTATTCCTTGTCAATAGTCAATGTCATTACCAGCACCTGTGGGAAGGTGTGGGACTTCTCTCTCTCTCTCTCTCTCTCTCTCTCTCTCTCTCTCTCTCTCTCTCTCTCTCTCTCTCTCTCTCTCACCTGATCATACTGTTCCTCAGTTAAGGCTTCCTCTCCCCTGAGGTAGAGCCGACTCACCACTGACCCAGGACTGCAAGAAAAGAAACAAAACATCACATCCTGACATGACACACACAAAACACCACATCCTGACATGACACACACAAAACATCACAGCCTGACATGACACACACAAAGTATCATATCCAGACATGACACAGACAAGACATCCCTTCACGACATTGACAAAACATCCCTTCATGAAACATACAAAACATCCCTTCATGACACATTGACAAAACATCCCTTCACGACATTGACAAAACATCCCTTCACGACACATTGACAAAACATCTCTTCATGACACAGGGTAAACACCTCTTTTATAACATAGACAAAAAAAGAATCAGTGGTGTTGCCATGCAGGAGACCAGAGTTCGATTCCTGAGAGGAGGGATACTTCTGTTGAGTACCTTGGTCTTCCTGCTGGGATGTTGTATGTGTTAGAGTCTGTTAGACTATTAGATTGCTTTTATCAATATATAGAAGGGAAACAATAAATCCTGGATTGTTGGTCCCTATATTACCATGATTAATTTGAATTATGTCCCTGTAATTGCACTTTTATTTTATCTACCCTCACAACAAAGATTGTCTGATCTTAGTGATCTTTACCCACTCTTCCTTCCTGTTTTAATCACATGTACTCATGCTCATTATGATTTAGTCTTGTCAGTGAAGCCAGAGAGAGTAGCAAACGATCAGGCTTTCCATTTAGCGAATAATAAAAATTTGGCACCGAGATGTTAAAAAAAGGTGTTTTGTCAGCTTACGTCAGAACAGCATGAAGAAGCCTCAAAGACATGAAGATGGTGAGATCATACCTACACTGGGTCATGAGAAGACAAGACAAAAAGGTACTCACTTCACTGAGTTCACACGAACACCATGGGGCGCCATTTCTGAAATAAATACAAAAAATATGAAACCAACATTAGGACCTAATATTAGCACAAAATTGATTGAGAGGGATCTTTTTCATCATGCAGGTCAAAGTTTTAAGATCCGTTTTGATGCGATGGTAGGTATACAGCACTGGGAAAAGTAACTATAGTAAAACTGTCAAACAGAAGAACAGGAGGATAAATAAAAAGTAGAACTTTGCAGAGGCACCCCCCAACCACCCAGATTACTAGAAAGGAGATATTTTGTCCATTGCTCAGTCCACCCAACAAAAAGGCAAACTGTTCAAAAGTGGCCCCTGCCCTTTGACTACCCAAACTGTCTTGACAAGAGGGTAAGACACAAACAGTCTACCTCTACAATTACAGGCACCACTTTAAAAAAGGAAAGATTTTCTCAGAACTTGCTAGAATGAATAGGGAAAAGAAACACAGCTATCATAAAAATAAAAAAGGGGACTCGTACGAGGGGATTTTTCAGACAAATGAGACTGCAGGATTCCCCAAACACTTATTGCACAATCTTAAAGGATGTGAAGTTTTAAACATTTTTGTAGTAGTCTGCTGATGCTGCCTTCCAAGTTTCATCCAGTTTGGTATGATAGAAAGATATGACATCTTTGTCAAGTGACTAAGTAAATGTGAGGCAGCGTGGTGGAATCAGGCTCTCGTCAAAATAATCAAAGTGAAGAAACTTGCATTTTTCCGCAAGTTTGTGAATTGTTATCAAATTTTTGTTTTTTGGCTCAACAACTTTCATGCCCTTTAAAAAACTAATTTCTTTGTGGATTTTTCTCAAAAACGTTGATTAAAGGCACAAAAAATGTAAATTTTCAGTTACCACGGACTCTTAAGCTAAGGAAATAACTAGTCTTTGGCGGCCATTTTCTCACTTATTTTACCTCTGAAAACAGGTGACCTACATCTCATTCTTTAGCAAATATCTCAACTTGCATTCAAGATAAATGGATATTTTTTTCATCCAAAGAAAGGCAAGTGAACAAGCTTTAAGATGATACCAATAACTCTACATGCCCAAAAATTGACGAGAGCCTGATTCCACCGCGCTGCCTCACAAATGATACTGGGCAAAATGAACATGGAAAAAGTAAGCCTTCCTTTCGATGAAATTCAGTCAGTCATTCATAAAGGCTTGTGCAGCAACTAATAATAACAAAGCAACCTCAATTTATGAAACTTTTCGTCAGATGCATTGGGTACTTCAATTTCCAGATAAAACCAGTTTTCGCCACGTATAGCATTTAAAAGCCAAAAGTCGGGAATTTCCAAATCTGGGGGGCAAAAGAGGGAGACAACTTTTGAGAGACAGGTGAAAAATGAATAAAAATTTTAAGTTTTGTTTTCAAGTTGCATGAGCAGTCCCATTTTATAATAAAAACCCCTTCATAGGTCAATGAAAAAGCAAAGAAACAAAAAATGAGTACATATACATTCCATGATCTCAGATTTCCAAAAGTTTCTAAAGAAATTGCTGGCCTACCTCTGAGCAAGGAAGATGCCAAATTTCAGAAAACATCTTTTTTTAAAGAGTGGTAGACTTGTTAATAAGCTCAGCCTTACTATAATGTCAAGCATGTTTCATACTCATTGACATTGTAATGTCAAGCATGCGTCAAAGATGTGTATTTTCAGTGGTCAGACATTGGAGTGTGTCCTTGAGCATGTCAATTGTCTGTAGTGGTGTGACATTGTGCGTATATAATGTCTGCAAATACAATTGTGTATGTGCATGTATGAGAGTGTCTGTGTGTATGTGTGTGTGTCAGAGTGTGTATGAGTGTGTGTGTATGTGAATATGTCAGTGTGTTTGTGTGTGTGTGTTTGTGTGTTTGTGTGTGTGTGCCTGTGTGTGCATGTGAGTGTGAGTATGCATAATATGTCTCTGTATGTTTGTATGTGTATCTGTGTACATGCATGTGTACGTGCATATGTCTCTGTGTTTGTGCGTGAGAGAGAGAGAGAGAGAGAGAGAGTGTGTGTGTGTGTGTGTGTGTGTGTGTGTGTGTGTGTGTGTGTGTGTGTGTGTGTGTGTGTGTGTGTGTGTGTGT